TGTGTGTGTGTGTGTGTCTAACACTGGTGCCATTGTCTGTCTTTGCCGTCCGCATTTCTTTCTGTATTGTATCATATCATAACGTAATCCCTGAACAAATCCTACCGTACAAGGAAGTCCACTCACCATTTATCTCTCCACAAGGACGTGGCTGTGTGTCTCACTCATTGTGTTTTATTCTCTGTAGACATGTCTATAATAGGATCTGGAAACAAGGGTGCATTACTGTCTGTAACACCCTGTGTCTATTTAATTACTTATGCTATTGTAGGATAACTTAAAGGCCGTGGACATGTCCTCAATCGTTTTGTGAATCACTTAAAATCTGATTGTTTATTTATTTAGTCATGCCTACTTAATGTTATGAAAAACCAGCTTTATAGAGGCTTTAAACTAACAATGACAATTCGCTGTCTTCAAGTCCCATTGAAACAGCGCTGAGAGCGTCTTTAGCTTCTATAAAGTGACATATGTCTGAGTGAAATGGAATATGTTGGAGGAGCATAGTTCCTACAGGGTGTAGTTTGGTGGATATGGAGTGATACAGAGTTGTAGAGAGTAATGAAGCTTTAGAGGACTGCCTGACTGACATTGTTAGCTCAACTGGTGGCGAAAGAGGGAGAAATTAATGAATTAGACTACATTATTTGAAAGTGTTTTGTACACACCACCTGCTATGATATTGCTCTGCTAGCTACTACAAGCTCATGTCATGTACGCTTTTATATAACGGACGGTGTTGGCCCCGTTCGATTGGACATACAACCATAAGTTCAGGATGAGTCATCAAATCTTTTAATGGATAACAGGAAAAGAAAAGGAAGTTTGATATACAAATGGTTTCTCTGGCATATATTTTCCATATAACATAGAAGAGAGAAATTGTACAATGAGTGAACTGAAAATGGTCCTACTACAGTAAAAATATTACTAAATAATTCTGTCTTGGATAATAATTATCAAGTATGGCAGCAGAAGTGTCTTTCATATGATTCATTGCAGCGAAATGTATTTTCCCTTTGAAAAGAAGTAAATGTTGGATAGACTGAACAACAGAAGAGCAGGAGGCGTTACTAAATGTTCTGGGTATTGTCATTTCAGTATGCTTGTAATTGTAAATGGAGAAAGACATTTCCTTACCAGGACAAGTCCTATTGTTCATATTGTATTTTACACAGACTTCTACTCCTATGGGACTCTTCCTTCCTTCTGCTTGTCTATGTTGATGAATTTAGTTTGTTCTGACAGTCTGAAATAGCATCTCCAGTCAGTCATTTTTCAGGGCCACAATAACAAGTCTGTGTCTGATTTAGAATACAGCAAAGTGATAGTGGTTCACTACCGAACCTCAGAGCTTCAACCGCTGTCCCATTTCTTCTTATCCAACTGTATTCTGCGTGTTGTGTGGAAAGCTGGTATTTGGAAATGTTTTGCATTGTAGCATTACACACATTACCACCTGTACCCATACAGAGCCCTCATGTTTGACTGTAGCTTAATCTGTGCCTGAGCATGTAAGGTGTCAGCCATGAAACACCTTTCTTTTTATCTCAGGGATAATGTTGGATAGATGAACGAGGATCAGGAAGCTGTCAGAACCTGCTCCTCTCTACAGGTGCGGTCTCTTTACAGATAGCACAAGGGGAGGAGCTTAGTTTATTTTGCATGCAGTGACTAATGTGCGATTGTTGGTGTAATGTCATTTGGGGCAGGGGAAGGGGAGAGGCTTGTCACACATAGGTGTGGTTATCTGTGGGAAAGCATCTCGTCCTCTTTGCACATGCCTCGACAACTACTGTAAACTCTGTGTCTCAACTTTGGTATGTCAAATGAGGAATGTTTTACAGAGTTTTTTATGTTTTAAATATCACTTCAAACTAATTAAAAACATATGCACATCAAAACCACAACCAGGGTGTCAGCTAAAGTTAAATTACACATTTTATTCTAAATTTGTTTAACACTTGCCAACACTAACTACCACATGCACTCAAACACTATAATTGTCCCACATCACCACATTGCATTTTCATGCATTCCAGCTTTGCTATTGTTATGCCTTGCTCTTTATAAAATCTAAAAGCTGTAATTTGGCTAAATGTGGCAAATTTTACAAGTTTTATTGTAGTTAGTAAAATGTCACTTAACTATGTATGGACAGCCCTTGATGGCAGCTTTTCTGTGATCACGGAAACAAACAAAGACAACACTTTATATTTGGACCAGTGCAAGTTCACAGAAACACGGATCATTTGAAACACCAGCTGCTCTCCTGTGTTGCTTTGGAAGCTCAGATGTCGCAGATGAGGTTTTCACATTATTTTGTCTTCCTCTCTAGTTTAGGTCATATAGGATTTTATTTAACATCAGGACCCCTGTAGTCTTGTTTGCCTTCTTTTGCCTTCCCTTGAGGCATTTACTGTGCATGCAAGCAACAGCAGAGTGAATCATAAAACTTTAGAAGTGAAGCTTGAAGTGTTTCATGGCATTTGGTTTCCCCCTTCTGGCATTTTTACAGAAGTACCACACTCACTAACATGCTTAATTTCTTTTCACTGGAATACACGTTGTCTATTGTAGCAGAAGGTGACTGCTGCTTTGTGTCCATCTTGTACTTGTTGCAACATCAAAAACAAGGTTTCCAATACCATTACACATCTACGTGACTATTAGGCTCGTGCAAAGGTTTGGTGCACAATCCAATTATACCTGGAAAAGCTTATTGGCCTAACTTACAGTGTACGCATTCAGTAGGGGTTGCAGTGCAGTGGCTTACATTTTCCGGTCTTTGTTTTTCTAAATAAGCCCACGTAGTATGTTTGGAATGCTGTGCACTGAATTCTTGTCGTAAGAAGATTTATTAAAATTGTTTGGGTCTCAGCTGAGGAAATCATTGTTTGTAGCCCTGTCTTAACTGCACCCCTCCGTTTCTTTTTGGTCTGTTCCATTGCCAAGGTGAGTTGACAGAGAGTCACTGAAGTAGATGTTAATAGGTTAACAGGAAGACGGTTTCAATCAGATCTTTTTGAACATTTCAGGAGGTATGTTAAACAAAATATCATTGTCAGACAGGTGTTTTTAGCATTGTTTAATTTTAGCTTTTTCATTAATGGAAAAACCTCCAGCCAGGCTTTATATGTGTGTTGTTTATGCGATAATCACCACTTTAGTGCTAAATACATTGTAACATCTATCTCATATTCAGTGGCCCACTCTCACCTCTAACATAGAAATATTTTGTCATCACATACCAGTGTTTAGGTTTGCTTTTTCCTCCTCAGAGCATGTCATGGCTGACATTACATAAACATTTTAATCACCTCACAACAGTTTTGAGTGTTTTGTGCATGTTTGCTTGTGCTATTAGATACCACACTTCTGTGGACTGTTTGTGGTTGGCGTGTCATTTTGCGGGACTACAGCTAATCCCGTCAATATTTGTTGTTGTTGCTTGGCTTGTGTTACCGTGTCTTTCACACTTCAGCTGTCAGACTGTTACAGCAGGTAAAGGAGATACCCAGCTGCTTGCTATAAGCAATTGACAGGTGTTTGTTAGGGAATTTACACCAACACTCTGAGACACTAATTGCCCATGAACTCTAATAATGGACAGTTTAAGATGCAGGACATGGAGGACTTCGTTATAGTGATGTTGTTCAGACCCTCACCCTCAAACAAAAGGTTTCCAGGTGTTTCTGGGCTGTGGGTCAGTGCAGACAGCCGGTGACTTGACAGCTGGTATGCCACTCAGCCCAGGAATGTGCTGGTCATTACATGCTGCTCACGGTTCACCTCTCTCACCCGAAACATGACTGGTTTGATTGTAGGGTCCGCTGAAGAGGGCCTTTGTCAGACCCTCAGGGACCAAATGGAATCCAGCGGCTCACCTGCAAAGTGCAGGTTAGGTGCACACAACCTCAGCATCTTTCTGCCTCTTACTGTACACGATTCTGCACTTGATTTTGCCAGATGTTATACAGTGGTAAATACATCCGAGCCACACATTGTATGACCCTTTCTCACGTGGTTTTTACTCTAGGAATCTCACACCTTGGTCAAATCAAAACTTAGTGAGGAATTTGTTAAACTTGTAAATAACGCATTCGCTGTAGCTCACAATGAAAACCTTGTTTGGACTGTATGCTTGATTGCTTCCTTCACAATAGATCACTGTGAATTTTATTGCCTTCCTATTTAGGTTGCAACTAGTCTTTGCTAATCTTCTTGCCTGTCACCAGACCTCTTGCTGTGCCAGAGCACTTTTTAATAAAAAAAAAAAACTTATTTGTCACTCCAGCAGGAGTACTTTTCCCCATTTATGTCGTTATCTAAGTGCAACTGTTGAGACAACTTTAATCTGTAATCCAAGTTTTGGATAAAGTCATGACCCTGAAAATTGGAAAAATGAAGTGTTTGTTGGACCATTTAATTTAAACTGCATGGCAGTTTGCAAGCTTGTACCATTCCAAAACAGAACCAGATCCTCATTAATATAGTGTAATAATAATAATTATTAATAATAATAGTTTTTTGATTCCAGAAGTCTCTTTTTGTTCATTTTAAGTGAGTGGAGAATTCAAACATGAGACTATAACGTCTAATGTAAAATCCCAGGCACCTTTTGTTAAATAGAAATACTTCATTTAAAAGAGAGTTTGATAACAATATTGTGTGTGTATAGATCTACGTTTTCAGAATATTTCGCCAAAAGATAGCAGTTAGACAGCTAGCACTGGCACATTTACACCAGTGCTGATCAGTATGCATTATCCTTGTAAATAAAGACAGTAAAAAAATTAAACCTGTTAATACAACCATAGAATACAACCATATGTGCTAAAGTCAGTAGTTCTAAAAAACTAAGTTGTATTTTCCATGTGTTGCTGACATCCCCGCTTGGGCAGTTGCAATGCTCATTACCCGAGGTTTTCAGGAAACAGGGTGCCCTTCCACCCTAGAGAGCAACCTGTTGCCATAGTAATGGTAGAAATGCATGTCTGCCTCACAAGAGGGGAGATGGGAAGAGAAGGGTCCGGCATTTCATCCCATCATTAGCATATTAGCCCCTTAGAGCCAATGAGACGAGGAAAGGTATGGGAATACTCCAAGGGGACTGGCTGTGACAATAGCCCTCCTCCTTCTCCTCCACTCTTCCACCCCCTCTCCGGGGTAAAACCCCCGTAATCCCAAAGGAAATCTCCCCTCCGTCCAAACTAATTCGGCCCAGAGAACTTTTCAGTCATGGCCATTCTGTGTTGAATATTATGTATTTGAGTTGTCGGCAGGTTTGTTTGGAAGCAGTGGATCAGTGTTGGAGTCGTGCGATGATGCTGAGCGGCATGTGTGTCTCTTTATTTTGGCTTGTCTTTGAAGTGTCTGTGGAATGTGGTGCCTGACCAGCACACGGTCTGACTGGTCTCACTTCCAAATTGAGCTCCAGGCTTACATTATTGTATGGTCTTTTGGATTACACATTTCTTTTTTTATGTCCATTTTGAATTCCTTCATCCAGATGTTTGGTGAGTCAAAATGAACAGCATTTTAATCACTTTTGTGTTTTAAACCTTTGACTTCTGTGTTTGAAGGCCGTCATACCTGCTACCTTTTGTCTTGTTGTATGTCAGTGAATAACTGGGGGACATATTGGGGCCTTCTTTGCTTGGTTTTATGACCCTAATACTCTGTTATTGTTTCGATTGTTCTTGTCTTATCAGTCAGTATGAGGTTATCCATCATTTAGGTTAAACCATGATCAGCAAGACTTAGCATTTCAAAACCAAATGCAGATTAATCTTTGAGGGACAGGCTTATAGGTAAAACAAAATCATCTGTGAATATGTGTCTTTACTATTACTAATTAATTGGCCATTAGTTTGTTTTGTGAGCTGTTTATTTTTGAATGTGGACTGGTTGGTACCGGATACATTTGAAGTGAGATGGGGCTCCACACTGATCACTCAGAAAACAATCTGTCCCCCTGCCCCCATTCCAGCCAACTGATTCACTTTCCTAGCATATCTGTGCTGGCCCAGCTGTAGCCCTGACGATAGGCCTAATAAAACCAGGTTCATTTGCATACCAATAGCAGGCGCCATGTGTGGCTAGCTCCTAGTGCCCTAGAAACACGGACTGTGAGGAGACGAGGAAGACTGAGCTCCATGCTGGCTTTTCTTTGTCCTCTAAATAGGCCTTAACTTTAATCCACAATTAATTTTGTGCAATTGTCCCACTTTTTTGAGCTTAACCAAATCTCTGTCTCAATCTGAAAATTCAAAATCTATACAATTAGTGTAGGGTGCAAATATAATAGCTTACGTTGTTAATTTCACCCAGTAGTTTGTTTTCGGGTTTCCATCTGAAGGAAGCTGTTATTTGGACCTCTTGTCATCAGATCATTGAAGGCCTTTAGACAAGGTGACTAAGGGGGCAGGACCTCTTGACCTCATGGCTTTGTAGAGCAAGTCTTGAGTCCGATGAGAACGTAAGCAAGCTAAGTTTTGTCTAAAACTCTTGACCAGTATAACACCAAAGTTTCACAGGTCCCTCTCAGCAGAACTAGTCACAGAGGTCTAACATATAATACATGAGGCTAACCGTAACAATTCAAAATTCCACTTAGATTATATGTTTCTTTGAAAGATGTCAGAAGCTGATGCATAAAACGTTACCAAAGGAAAAGTTATTCAGGAAATAAATAATCTTGTGGATGACGAATTTCCCTGTAACCCTCCCCATTTGAAAATTGTGCACACAACTACATTCATGCCACTACAGGTGTAATAAACGTCTACCAAAGCCCCTTGTGCCTATCAAATGATGTAAGTTTGAAACGATCAGGGATAGAGAGGCTGTCTGGGAGGCAGACAACAGCTTGGATTGAGGGGTGATGTGGCTGATCTGATTGTGTAAGAGATTCTCTGTTCTGTTAAGCCCCCATGCCCCATGCTGAGCTTGTGTTTCCCCAGGGACCATATGGCAAAGTCTGATCTCAACCAGCTCACCTCAACTACGTACTGTTTAGATAATGAGCCTAATGAAAAATGAGTAAAACTGTGTCTGTTTCACTCTGGAACTGACTGCGTTGTAGGTCCATCATATAGGGGTTTTCTCATATTTCTCAACTTCCATGGTACTCAAAACTGTGCCATCATGAGCATGCATTCGTCTGACCAGGAGAGGGGGCTATAACACCATGTATCAACAGACATTTACACTAGTGTAGACTGCAGATTACTGTCCTGTGAATTACGAACACTGTGATAATTCAGCTGGACCTGAAGAGATTTGGAGAACCTTTGTCCTGGTGAGATTTTGAGACACTGACCTCCCCAACTCACAAGGTGTTTTCTGCAGTGCTGTGGTGTGCACAAACTGAATGTCAGGTGGTGTTTGTACTGTCTACTGTGAGTCCATTCAATTGTTGGTGAGCTCTTAGTGTGTGTGTTCCTCCCCCTGCTGCCCAGGAATATGAAAATGGTGGATATTGTAACTCAGAAAATGCCCTCAGAGAATGACGTGCATGTGGCAAGAAGCTTTCTTACGAAGATTTTGCGAAGTTCCATGAGGTACGGTTCTGTGGCTTCATCGTAATCAGTAGTACCTATTCCTTTGTTCCACTTCCTGACCCCATAATCATGTTAATCATTCATCTAGTAATAACATCATCTTCATTCCTCTCATAAACTCTTTACCGTGGGTTTTTGCCTGCCCTCATTGGCATGTCTCTTTGGATTGTCTTGTGGTTCATGTCATTAGATGAATGAAATGCATCCCATTCGTAACTCATACAATATACTGTCTGTCCATGACATGTATACACATGTTTGTGTGTCTAATATTCAATATTGGTATTTAATTTATGTGTATGTCATTTATGCTGATATGTTCTGTACACCTTTTCCTGACACGCAATTCAGAGAGAATCGCTTTAAAGGGTATGTTTCGTATGCATACAAGTGTATAAAGTTTTTGATTAAACAGAGACGTTGATAAAAATCCTCCGAAACAGTTTCTAACTGTGAATGTTGGAAATCACTGCCTTCATATAGATGCAGTAAAACAAGTCCATTTTCTACTTGCAGTACGAGTTGCAGTACTAGCAACAGTATGTGTGCAAGCACATACTGTTTTGCATAAGGGGTTGGTCTCTAATCCAGCCTGTGTTTTTTTTTGCCCTCTCTGCAGGCGGAATGAACCCATAAGCAGGCCTCACTCCTGGCACTCCACCAAGTTCAACGAAAGCCAATCAGAGACTGCCAAAACGCAGTCTCCTCCCACGCCGGTCTGGCACACCAGATATGATGCAAGGTAACTCTTGGATCTTGAAGTTTTCCTCTTGAGTTTCAGTGTTAGATATCAAGCGTTTTAAATGAAAAGTATGTGATAATGCTTTATGCTTATAAGAGGGGTTTTCCAATATATTTACAACACTCAACACAGCTAACAACTCTAACCCTTTAACAGCTTTGATTTGGGTTGTTCTACTACAATTTCTATCTTGTCATCTGTTGAATTAAACTGTGCTGATACACTGCTAATTAATTAAATAAAAATGTGACAGAATTAGATACCATAATTCATTTTTGCAAAAGGTTGATGTTTTTATTTTCCTTTGCTTTAACGTCCAGCTCATCCTCAACTGATCTCTCCTCTGGCTGGGAGCAGACCAACCTGCGCAGAGTCTCCGACCAGTTTAGTTCTCTCGGCAGTATGGACAGTCTAGAACATGTCTCACACCCATACCCAGCGGGTCAGCTGTCACCTGCCAAGTCCAACAACAGTATGGAGCATCTTGGAGGAGGAAAACGAGACTCAGCCTACAGCTCCTTCTCCACCAGTTCTGGCACACCAGACTATACCCTCTCAAAGAGCAATGCTGCCTCGACAGAGAACATGCACTATAAGTTCAGTCAGTGGGATGCAGGAGGAAAGCACAACAATAGCAGAAACAGCCAGAGCCTGACTGAGGGAGTCAAACAGGACGATAGAGTGGCGTACTTCCAGATTCCAGGTGTTAGTGCAGGCTGCGAGGGTCCACAGGCTGAGGACTTGGCTGGCACCCGCCATTCCACTTCAAGTAGAAGCAGCTTTGGACCTGTTTGGCATGTCCCTGAAAAAAAGAAGACTGCTTCCCCCTCTCCTCCCCCTCCCCCTCCACCTGCACGCAGTGACAGTTTTGCTGCGACTAAGGTTCATGAAAGGGGGCTGGTCATAGCTCACCCTGAAGGACCTGAATTACATGCCCCCTGTAAGGCCTCCACTGAAAATCGCCGCAGCCACAACCTATCCCCGAAGAATGACAGCGACAGTTTTTACACTTCATCTGATAAATCAAATAATAACCAGTTCAACTCAAACAACCAGTACTCCTTGTCCAGCAGTGATGTCCATCAAGGCCAGCCCTACCATCACAGACACCATAGTGACAAAAGCACTTTTTATTCTCAGCCCTGGGCTACGTCCGTACCAAAGCCACAGAACGTAGGTGGCTACTATTGTAGCATGCAGGAACTGCCTACTAATGGTTCTGCACAACACCTTGGTCAGAACCAGAGAAGGAACTTAAGCACCTCCCTGTCAACCACAGCCACTGACCAAAACACTGACGGCAGTGGACAAAACCGATACTACTGTGTCACAACATGTCAGCCTGTGCAGCCTAACCCCCAGCCCTTGTCAGGAAAATCCGAGGACAGGAAAAGTGTCACAGGTATAGACTTGGCACAGACTGGAAATGAGCAGAACTCTCTTAGCCCACAAACAGTCACCAAAGTGAAGTATCATCTGCCCCAACAGCAGCAACACTCCTCACACATTAAAGACAGTAACGGATACAGCAAGCACCAAGTTACTACTGTGTTAGAAACCTCTGTACCTAAATCCAGCTCTGATGATAGGGGAGGCCAGAGAGGACACAGCAGACAGTCTGAACAGCGGAGGTCTCTCCCACTGCAGCATCGAGAGTTACCCCAAGACATCAGACATCACAACCAGGTGAGCAACAAGATCTGCCCCCAGGCAACCCCCATGCTTCACTCTCTATCTATGGATGCCGCTGGCCAAGAGCGAAGAGGCCCAAACTCTGAGGAGTTCCTTGAAAGCATGCAGATGAAACGCAGTGACCGCTTTGCCACCACGTTAAGGAATGAAATCCAGATGAGAAAAGCCAAGCTGCAAAAGAGTAAGAGTGCAGCTACCCTTCCTGGTACTGAAGGTGAGGCTGAGAACGATCAGCATATCTGGAAGTCCACTGAAAACACCACCCCGACTGCTGATGGCTCCTTCACCAACACCTACAAGGTTAATCTGAAGGAAGCACAAGCAAGGGTGCTCAAGGCTACATCATTCAGGAGAAAAGACCTGGAGCCTGTCTTACTGGAGCACCCTGCAGCTGAAGCCTTACCTAACTACCCATCCTCAGCACTGACCCGTAAAGATGTCACCCCTCTGCCAACGGTCTCAGAGTCTGTAATGAGTAAAATGGGGCCTGCCAGTGGTCAAGTAACTCGCATTGGTGGTCGGAAGCGTTTTCCTGCAGAAAAGAAGGTGAGGTCTTTCTCTGAGCCAGACAAAATCCATGAAGTTGGCGTGAAGGAAGATCTCCCTCAAAATGAATATGCAAGTTCCTCACTAGACCAGCAGAAGCTGTTTAAAGAAAGTGGGAGACCAGCTTTCCCCCATCACATTCCCCCTCAGAGCTATGCCGAGAACCCCACAGAGACCAAGGCTCGAGGTCTTGGCACAACCAGCGAAACAGAGGACACAATGAAAGGCATCAGGAGCAGAGAATACACTGACGAGGTCCAGGGAGGTCTTTACTCTGCACACAAGCTGTCCCTCTTAGACCAGCAAAGACTGGGCACCTTCGCTGAGTATGAGGCAAAGTGGAATATACAGAAAAAACCTCCAGAAACAAGAGCCTCTGGACGGTACCGCTCAGCTGATAACATCCTGGATCCAGGACCAGAGGAGAGAACCAAAACCACCTGTTTCCATGAGCGATCTCGATCATCTCCTTCAGCTGATATGTACGGACAGGTGAGGCACAGAGTCTGATTGTTTGTAATTTCAAAATGATTTGAACAAACACTTGGTTGAAATAATTCAAAGAATGAGAAGTCTCTTGGTTGTTACTTGTTTTAGTCACTTAAATGTTCTATACAGCACTCAATGTGGCTTTACATCTGACTAAAACAAACACACTGACTAAAGTAAAAGGAACAAAGGAAAGAGCCAAGTCAAATATTAATCCATGTTTGTTCATATGACACACCCTTAACTTAAGGAAAAGAGAGGGGCATCAACCCGCTGGTTTCTTTTTTCACTATTGAAAAACCAGGAAGCTGCAATTTGAGTTGGCTGGAATAATTAACAAAAGACAAGAACTTGGCTCTTTGGATCATTGGAAGCCTCTTTTCTGTGGATTCTTTCAATGGTTTTGCATTAACGGATACTTTGTTTGTTCAACTTTTATTTACAGAAGATTCAAGTTCCTGCAAGAAAGTCAGAGACAGAATATTCCCACACAGAGAGTAAACCTGCTGAACCGCTCAACGCCGCTACAGGGTCAGTACATTTCCTTTGATATATTCTCCTACTACACCACTGTCTTTCGCTGTGGGACTACTATCTGTGTCCAGTATGCAGTGCAGTATACAAAAACAAAAAATAGTACCTTTGCATTTAATATTCGATTCTAGGGATTGCCCATGGATAATCTTAAATGTTCTCAGAGGGAGTAAACTAGTAGTATTATAATTATAATTTGTCTTTGCTCTATCTATTATTTTGCACCAGTGTTTTTATCATTCTATCAGCGTGAGTATGATATTATATTTCTACTCCTGAGCTTTATCAGTGAAAGAGGGCAGTAAACTAGTAGAGGAACAGTGAAGTCTTTATGATCTGTCAAGGCATACCAGTGCCACTGCCTTGGCGCAGCTGTGACAACATAAGTCGTCTCTATGGCTGTGCTTTGTGTCATTTAGTGGAGGCTTACTGGTGTAGGCGAGGAATCTGAGCATGTCTGTTACAGTGAGGGTGAGCCTCTCTGTCTGAGAGCAATGGGGACCCGAGTTCAGGGGGCAAGCCCGAAGGCAAGAAATTATCATTGATAAGATCTGTTACTTTGCATAATTAGATTTTCTAACTAGTGGCATGGCTCTATGGATGGCGATGTCAGTCTGTCAGTCTGTCAATGTGTCCACCAGCCTGGAGTTGTGTATAAGCCTAAAAAAGGGTTAAAATACCCTCACAGTGATATAAAGCTGACTGAAGTGGTTTTGTTACATTGGATTAAACCTCCCTCTTGAGACTGTTTGTTTTATGGGCAGGGTAGAAGTGTTTACAGGTAACGTTGATGATTTCATGTGATCCTTTGATGATCCCGTATGAAGTCCC